CAACCAATAAGAAACAACATTGGAGCACGTAACATTGATATCTACTAGGACGACCATAAAATTGACCAGTAGGAATTAACCAACAGGAATTGACCAATAATTCTCATAGGATATTGGATGAATACCCTAACAAAAGGACTCGTCCGATTACAGGACTGACCCATCAGAAGTCTTCATCCACGATTCCAGCAAGCGGGAATCGAATCGAAGACTTTCGGTCTCGGGCGCGAACCCCTAACCTTTAGACTACTAAGCCAGCATCGAACGGTGTTAGTTTTTAACTTTAATTAATCTATACTATTGCGTAACCCCACCGGTTGCCATCAGTTTGTAACTGCTTAAACCTGAAAGGTTTCCGGCCGTGGTCGAACAATGGTCATTTCATTATTTCAATGAAAACACATTGTAAAAACAAGCCAAAGAAATTGAGAGATGAAGATCCTTCAATAACAATAAAGCTAGTATCTATTTTATGCCTTGATAATATCAGTCGATGATTAGGTTATCGGACGGCATAACTAGTCAATTTGTCCACGCTCTACCAAGTAAAAATGTATATCAGTCAATATATATGTAGACATTACTAAAGAACGATAAGGTGGAACCGACTGAAACACAACTCATTATTGCTTAACATGTAGTCAACACTTCACAAAAGTGAGCATAACAACTTTAACGAAATGAAATGAATTTAGAGACGACAGTAGTAATGATTTACAATCAATCAATATGCTTACTTTACATAATATTAGTGATTAGTATTAGTCGGTTAAGGATAGAAAACATGGAAGAATAATAAAATAGCGACAAAGGACTACATATTTATAAGTTCATGAATCTTAAACTTCAATAAGAAACTTTTCCAAACTCATGAATGCACTTTTTTAAATGATTAGAAATTGTAATCTGTACCAATATGTAGAGCCTAAACTGCTTGTCTCGGCCTTCGGAAAAACAAATAATCCGTTCTTCCTGTAATCCATTATTGACGCCTCTTTCAACCTTGTTAATCAGTCTTTTGAAGCCTTGACTGTTTTTATTTTTATGTCTGATCATAAATACTTAGTCATGCCTCATAACAAAGAGATAGTCTACTCCCTGTTTGTGTACAATGCTTCAGCTTTACGCTTCTCGTTTTTATGTCTATCTGCAAAAGCGAGCGTATAAACTAGATTTATTCGAATGAAACTGTATTAGGCTTCTCTCTAACACTGTCACATAAACGGGATTAAACTAAGAAAGGAAAGATTTATTTTCGGTTAGAGTATTGAAGATTTGTGTTTATACACATCTGAAATCTTCAAATGCTTACTAGTGACTAGCTTCGTGAGGAAATTCTCAAAGTTCTAGTGAGAAGACGTGACCAATGGAGTTCAACCCTGTCGGGTGTAGGCGGTAACTACCAAAGACAAATGGGTGAGGTCGCGCAAAATCCGTAGATCAATCAGACGAAGGCATTAACACCATTGGATACCGGTTCAGTAGTCCAGAGGTTAGGCATTCGCGCGCGATACCGAAGGTCCTGGGTTCAAATCCTGTGAGGTGCAGGAGTCGTGGATGTGCTCTGCTGATGAGTCCCATACCAGGACCATCATAATCAACTTTCCGCCCACCAAATCGAGTGTAGTACCTACACATACATTTGAGTGTGTTCGCATTTAATTTGATCAAGCCCTATTGGTTAACTTGTTCGTATTGCAATAATTTATCTGTCTCATTGTACTTTTATTATTGTCGCGTTGGTATGAGCAGGAACGATTGAGGATTGCTTACCGACTACGTTCATGTTCGGTCTGTTCGCTTCAATGTTAGCCTCTTAAGTAATTCCATGATTCATTCAGTTTCCAGCTTACATATGTGTACATTTTAATCCTGTTCAGTCACTCAGTCACTTGCTCTTCAGCACTTGCATATCATTCATCACACATCTTCTAACCTTGTCATTTATTCGATTATATCTTGGGAGCTTTTATTCAAGTGTGCATAAGTGCATACTTACTTCACTTATCACATGTCTACTCTATTTTTGTCTGACTATAAGTACACAGTCCCGCTTCATCGCAGTGGGTTAACTCACTCACCTTCTCCACTTTGCTTCGTTGTGCCTTTCACACTTCGTATTCTTATGTCTGTGTATGTGAATGAATTGCCTTAAATAAATTCATCCACAAAAACTATATTTGGCTTTTTATTACCCTTGTGATAAAAACGGAGTTTACCAAAGCATGATATTTAGAAACTGAATAGAATATTTTTTTCATAACATATTTGTTCAATTAGAGTTATGGAGATTAGTGTTTGTTGCACGTTGAAATCATCAATCAGTAATTTTCAGACCACCATTAGAAACCCGAAAGACCTGGACAATCGTTTCCTCCTGAAATGGGATGCATCAGCAGTGCGCATTCACGGCTCTTGCACCCCACGGGATTATAACCTGGGACCTTCGGCCTTGCACACGAACGCCTAACACGGGAACCCCTGAGCCGGTACCCAACGGTGTTAATGTCCAACTCTAATCAGTCTGAGGATTTCTGGCAACCTCATTCACTGTCTTCGGTAGTTACTGCCCTCACCGGATAGGGTTGATCTCCACTGGTCACGTCTTCTCACTAGAACTCTGAGAATTTCCTCACGAAGTTAGAGTCACTAGTAAGCACATTGTACGATTATTTCAATTCGAGTGCTTCCAGTTTTCTAATAATTGTCTAACAATGATTGATTACTGATTTCACTTTGTAATTACATATGTAATCATTCATCCAAATTGAAGTCAGACAGCGAGCCAGAAAAAAGGATACGTCCTTCTTCGAATGTAACCCAGCCACTAGAAATTAGTCTATTACCTTTTAAATCAAGTCATAAAAGAAATTGGAGTTTTGTTTCTTCACCGTAGCACTTTTTGTTTCATTTTGGGAATGCTTTGTATACATACATATCTACATATGCATCTATTCATTGAAATGTCCCATAATCACTTTTTGTTCTGTTCTGTTAACTAATCAATGATATTACAGGAAAAAGATAGTTTACATTACACAAGCGCATATATGTATATATTTCAACTAGGTATATACATTTCAGCTCTGTGCAATGCGAATTCGTGTACAAGACCACAAACACACACACACACACCTGCACAAACATATACACATATGTAAAATCAATGATCATCGAAGTGAGATTATGATTTTATTGCCTTATTTCAAATAAGTAATAATCATTAATAGTAGACAAAAAAAAAATCGTAGATAAAATGCATTCCATCTCTTTTAGAAAAAAAAATGAAACATGCACTGACTGATTCAAGTGCCTTAATCTTTTGGTGTTGTAAACTAAGCGAAAAGAATGAACTGACAAAATAAACATCGAATCACTGTAAAATAATAAAAACTTTCATCTGTAATGTTTTACAAGACTTTCTGCTTATATCATTGAAAGTATTTTAGGTTTCGTTTATAAAAGTATCCTTCATATTAATATTTTCTATTGAAATCATGAATGAAACTAAATTAGACCACGATTGGCAAAACCTTGAAACAACAGATTGCCATTTCATCCGAGTATCACACTCTTCATCAGTGAGCATTCATGACACCAGCATGAGGGAAACTAAACTCGCATCTTCGGTCTAAAGCGGGAACACTTAAACAATAGACGGTTGAGTCAAGGTCCGGTGGTTTCGATATCTAACTTCAAACAATCCATGATTTTGCGCAACCATCATCCACCGTCTTCGGTGGGTAACTGCTTAATAATAGACACAGTTTAACTCCGCTGGTCTCGACTACTCTGGAAATGTTCTCTTAAAGCTATTCACTAGTAAGTTGAAGAGATTGTTGGATTTCATCGAGAACCAATGAAAGCAATTCGGTTGCCTCTTGTGAGTATGCACATGCGCACTGTTGAGATGTTCCATACTAAGAATTATTCTGCACATCAGTCAAAATCATTCATATAGTTATCGTGGGAGTATGAACAATCTTCATTTTAGACTGATTCACCTCAATCTGTAAAAACAATTTGATGCGGCTTGTCTAAAAAATGAATCTAGTCAATATCAAAATGAACTGATTTTCGCTGTTCACTTCTAACTGATGTCTAACAGTATAATATTCAAATAAGTTATAACGAAGCTTCATAAAAAGTAGATCTTCTTACTGCCTTCAACCGAGCTAACATCAATGTACATTATCAACTCTCAGTTGATATCATGATTGACTTCAAGTATTTTTAAATAGAAAACTCGATATTTTTATTAATTTCAAAACTAACAAATATTCCTCTCCTATCTTACACTAAAAAGTTTCGTCATTTATCTCCAAACCAACAAATTTACAAACATGAAATCTTCATAAACATCATGTTCTACAGAACCATTTCTGTGAGTTGGTATTTAAAGATAGTCGATAAAAAGCACCAGACCTAGGTTTCTTGTTGATTGTCACTCTTAAGCAAGGTATACCTGTAGTGAACGAGAACGCAGGTGAGGCAACCGGATCGGATTTAATGAAAATTACAGAGTTACTCAGTAACATCGGAAAACCATGTCGTAAATTGTTCATTTGCAAAATATCAGTTCATCATATCGAACTGGATTGTTCCTGTTGCTAAATATCAATCCATTGTCACTATTCATGCGTTTCATACAAATTCCATTGTGTTCTAACTCTTCCTTTCTTGATCTTCCCCCATCTTCTGCTGCCAGACATTACGTTGACATTCACGTCATATACTACTTATAAGTAGCTCGCACCACATACCTACCATCTTGAAGAAAATAATACTCCCTAGCGAATTCGGTCCTGTTTCACTCAGCTTCACAATCACAGACGTTACTAGTGTTAAATAGTACGAAACCAAAGTCTACAGTGTCCCATCGACTACTTCCACCCATCATTTCACCTCTGAACACAGTGTACACACAGAATCAAGTCACCTAGAATAGTGATCGAAAAACCAAAACTGAAACAATCACCAAAATATCACGCACGCAATAACTAACCTGCTATTAAACTGGAAACAATCAGCGGTATAATCAACATTTTCAACATATTCATTAATAATTCTCCAGGAAATGATAAAAGATATATTGTTCTAGGTGATGGTGAAGCGTAAATTTTCACTATTAAACCAATTGTCATGCCTAAGATAACAGCTAATACAGTGAATGTTACAAATAAATTATCCAAATTAGTTATCCATTTCTTAAACTGAAATAATCAACAACAAAAAACAACAACAATAGTAAGAAAAAAAGTGAGCAATGAAAAAAATTTTATTTAGTTCATACAGATTGTTTTATGATTATTAAAGTTGAATATTGATCGAACAAACGTTAGACATTGAATGTAGGAGCCAAACTGAGGTTTGGACTCACAAATAACTGTCTAGGTAATAACTGTTTAAAGAATGATGTATATTTATATTTATGATGAATATTAGAACTGTCATTTACGCAAAGTCACTTGTATTGGTTTTTAAACTGGGAAAGGCGCGCATCTTAACTACCATTTTTTAAGGGTTTGTTTGTGAAAATCCCTTCATGTATACATTTGTAATTTGTCCTTATTGATTCTCTTAGTTGTACACTACGTTAGTCTGTTCGATTCAATTTTGAGATGATGATAATATTTGTATTTTATCATAGTTTCTATTTCTTCTGACTTTACTGAGTTTCTATGTTTCTTTCTAAACTGCATTTATGTTGTTTAAGCTGATCTGATACTTAGTCATGAGCGACAGTCATATTGATTTGTTCCTCTTTTGATTGTGTCACTAGCTTGAACTGGAATTGTGCATTTTGATTGTGAATTGAAGCACTCTTCCAGAATTGACAACACTCTGTTTTATAAAGCAACCAAATATTATCTGTCGAACGAATATGATCTATCCAGGAGGGATAGAATACCATTTATTTTGAATAATTGGACCATTGTTGATGGAATAACTGAGTGGTAATATTTGTTTAGGTATTGATGTATATTTATATTTATGATGAATATTAGAAGTGTCATTTACCCAAATCACTTGTTTTGGTTTTAAACTGGGCAAGGCGCGTATCAAAACTACCTAGACAGTTATTCCTCAGTCCAAACCTCAGTTTGAATCCTACATTAATACACTTGAATACCAACTTAGTAGTCTAGAGGTCTTGGGTTCGATTCCTGTGAGCCGGAGTCCTGGATGCGCACTTCTGATGAGTTTGAATATAAGTGAATTTCAATGTTAGTGTTCACATTGAAATGTGAAACACAATACTTGTTGTTTCACTTGATCCAGTGTATGAAACCATCAATATCAAATAACTAATAACTTCTGTAATAGGCGTGTGCATTTTATTTATATCTAAGATTTTCACTATAGAGTTGTCGAGATTGTTGAGTTTCATTGCACTGATGAATCAATCAATGTTAGACAACCACTAGAAACCTGGAAGCACTGTACACCCATTTCATTCTGGCATGGAACTCGTCAGCAGTGTGCGTCTATCACTTCCACTACTCGTAGGATTCGAATTTGGGATAGTCAGCCAGCATCCAACGGCGTTAATGTCTGCCTCTAGTTTCGCACAACCCCATCACCCATCGTCTCCAATAATTACTGCCTTGCACTCGACAAGGTTGAACTCCACTGGTCATCGCCATTCACTTCAACTCGGAGAATTTCCTCTCCAGTCTAGTAGTCACCAGTAAGCACATTTTACAATTGTTTCATTATAGATTTATAAAGACTGTTATTATTTTCTACTTAAATCATGCATCAATCATTATTCGACTATTGTATAATCCTTTTTTCTTTTTCAATATTTTTACGAGACAATCACTTCTATCTATCTTTCTATCTCTATAATCTTGCGCAGTATTCATAAAAACGTCCATCATTATGGAATACACAACATAAGTAAATGATTCTTTTTTTTTTCGTAGAAAAACACAGAATCCTCTTTTCAAATGAATACAGTTTCAGTTTTAGGTTTTATTTCTTTTGTTCACTGTTACACAATTAGTTCGTTGAAAATAATAATAATAATAATCATTATTGAAAGTAAAAAGTGGATTGAGTCTATTGTTAATTTTCATACAAATTTCAAATTTTTATTCTATTCTATTCTATTTCACTTCAATCTGTATTTGAATACATTGATAAGTTTGATTTTACATTTTCTTTTCTTTTCATTATTATATATAAAAATTCAATGATTTCGGTTGATGAAAGATCAGACCACATAAAAATTTATCAATATAGATTCTCATTCTATTTTGAGATGATGATATTTATATTTTTTTATTATAGTTTCTATTTCTTCTGCCTTTTCATTATAGAATTGTGGAGAATATATCAAGTGTCATTAAAATCATGAATCATTCAGTGTTAGACGACCAAATCTCAGCACGGATACAGAAGGCTCAATTGGATTTTGCCAACCTGCGTCATCTATGACGCAGGCGAGATATCCGTTTGCTAACCAAAGGACGAGTGTACTGTGCAGCAGTTCGCTCCATCCTACTATACGGATGTGAACAATGGCCGTTAAGTGTAGAGGACTTTCGTAGGTTACTAGTTTTCGATCATCGATGTCTCCGAAGCATTGCTCATGTATCATGGGACAACCGTATAAGCAATGCTGCCGTTAGGAAACGAATACTTGATAAGGATGGCAGATCAATCGATGAAGTGGTGAAACTTCATCAGTTGAGGTGGTTGGGACATGTGTTACAAATGCCTAACCACCGACTGCCTCGACGAGCTATGTTTTGTGGCGTAAGTGTAGGTTGGAAGAAAGTTAGGGGCGGCCAGACCAAAACATGGCAAAAATCCATGAAGTCACTGACAGGTGGACTGAGTCATGTTGGTAGATGTAGGCTACCTGTTTGGGGTCCGCGAGATGTTAACGATCGATGGTTAGAGACCTTGAATGACATAGCTCAAAATCGTTTGCAATGGCGTAAGTGCATCCATTCGTTGTGCTCTCTCAAATCCTAATCTTCTGGATTCGTCAGCTCCTCTACCTTTGTCTTTCTAACCTTATCTCACTGAATTATACTTGTTGAATATAATATCTTCAAACCCTAGTCTTCTTCATTACCATTAATGCCTCTACTATCTTTATCACTATGGTATTTGATTTGACATCTGCGTCTCTGTGCTAATGTGGTATGGCAACATGAACTAATGTACTTATGTACGAATTTTTACGTTGCAACTGACTGACTGACACTACCAAAACACTACCAAAAACCTTGAAACATTGGACGACCGATCTGTCGTTGTATGGAACTCATCAAAAGTGTGCCAGTCAGTGTCGGCTAAACGGGCTCGATTTCATGTATTAACACTATTAATGAGTCGCATACTACGACAAATCGGCTATTCAGTACTTCTTGGTTCCCTAATGGTGGTCTAACAATGACTGGTTCATGATGTTAATGAATTTTTTTCCAAACCTGAATTAAAACATTATTAACAAAATTATTTCCCCAATAATTTATCTCTTCAAAATATCAACCGAATCATAAGAAAAACTAAGTCTTTTCAATTTTAAAATCATTAATTGATCTTAGCTATACAACCAATGAAAACTAGGAGACATTGGTTAACTGCTTTTTCCTAGTATGAAATTCCTCAGTAGTTTGCATTCACTAACACACCAGAGGCGATAGAATTTAAAGACTAAATGGTAAAGAATGATGTACATTGCTGAGATTCAATTGATTGATGATAGTAAGCAAATATTTCATTGTTGAGTGAGTAAAATACTAGGACGAAGAAACTGTCCAGCGCTTCCTAAGTTTTCACTGGTTATTCAACTAAAATTGAATCATGTCTATTGGTCGTTTGTGCGACGATGGCAATAAATAGTCAAATAAGGTTTTGTGGATGAATTTAGTTCAAGCAATCATTCATGCAAACAGACAGGAGAATGAGATTCTTACAAGCAATGTGAAGCGACGTGGAGAAGGAGAGCGAGTCGACTCAATATAACGAAACATGACTCAATATTTCAAGTCAGATATATGATAAGCGCAGTAATCGTGCACATACACACACAAATAAAATCAAACAAGATATAAGTGAACAACTGGAAAGGTCGACAATAGTGTATTACACACTAAAATCACCAAGAAATCATTGTTAGACCTCCATTAGAAACCTAGAAGCACTTAATTTCCGTTTTGTCCTTGTATGGGACTCACTGATTGATGATTTCAGTGCATAAAAACACTAATTTCCATAACTCTATTTGGAAAAATTGTAAAATGTGCTCATTAGTGACTAGCTTCGTGAGGAAATTCTCGAAATTCTAGTGAGAAGACGTGACTAAAGGAGTTCAACCCTGTCGAGTGTAGGCAGTAACTACCATAGACAAATGGGTGAGGTCGCGCAAAATCCCTAGATGAATCAGAGTTAGACAGTAAAACCGTTGGATGCGGGCCGAGAGGTTCAGAGCTTAGGCGTTCGCGCACGAGACCGAAGGTCCCCGGTTCGAATCCCGCGAGGTGAAGTTGTGGATATGCACTGCTGATGTGTCCCATACCAGGACGAAACGGCCGTCCAGGACTTCCAGGTTCCTAATAGTTTTCTAACAATGATTGATACATGATTTCTATTTACTCTTTAAACAACCGAAATAGATAAATCATAAAAATATGCAAATGAAAGAGGGGAACGAAAACTGTCACTTTTCTTGTTATTCTCTTTCATAATCATAGAAAACCTTCATAACTTATGAAAAATAATCTGATTTACTATATTTTACATTAAATTAAGAATAGTAACATTTTGAATGTAATAATGATAATAATAATAAGCACGAGGTTTTATCCAATAATCCTTATCGATCGACAAAACACATTACCACAGGGAGAGGTTAAGAAGTAGAATGAAAATACATTCCATTGACACTTTAACTAGCCATTTAAAATATTTGAGATTTACACACTAAAGGTTTAAAGGTTAAGTTTTTGTCGTCAATAATGAAATTTCCTAAGTTTTATCCTCCGGTAGAATGGCAGTCTAATATTACCTAGTTTCAAATGATTGTCTAATTGACTTTAGTCTATGATGCGACTAGTTATGTGAATGAAATTCCTTTGTTGATGTATGAATTGATTTGCTTTAGTACGAAACACTTTGACTGAAAAACTGTAAGGCAGAAGATGACACTAATAGGTTGCTAAAACTAAATCTAACTGGACTAGGATTCACATAG